ATTAAAGACCTTTAGGTCTGCTTTGATTTACACTGGAGTCTGAAGTGATCATCAGCATCAGCCATGGAATTACAAAGATGAGGGGGCGTCATTATGTGCAAGTCTTTCTCCTGTCTCAGACTGGGGGTTATTAAACATAATTTAAGATGTAATCCCTAGATGTTCTGACTCTGGCCTTTGTCATTTTTTCCTCATATGGAACAGACAGTCAAAAATCTCTTTGTTTTTTTGTTTTTTTTTTTTTGCCATGGCTTTATTGTGTGTAAAGCAGTTGTCTGCTTAGATGTACTTCTCAGTATCACTTTTCTCTATTTAGACCTCTAATACCAATCCTAAGAGGCAAGGTAAGATTTTAAACAAATGCAGATAAAAGTAGAGAATGTCACTGAAAATCAAATGCGTAAGATGGAAGTACAGTCTAGTTCAGGCACTGGTTATTCAGTTGCTGGGACAGCAGCACTACACCAAATCCCCCAGTTCCCTTGGAGATCTTGCATTTGTCTAAATAGTGGGTGGGTGCAGCTGCCACACCACTGGGTCTCCCACAGTGAAAAACAGAGCTCATACAAAGCAGAAGGAAGTGTGCTAGTATTTACTGTGTTTTACAGTTACATCAGAAGTGAAGGACGCATTTCCTACTACCCTGCTGACTAGCGCACAGTGACTTCAACATGGGACGGAAGCCTACACTTCACAGATCCTGTCTTAGCACTGATAAGTCTTCTTCGTCTTTGCTGTGAAGATAACAACGCAGATGTCTAATGGCATGATGGGGATTGTTTAGTTAGTGTGCCAAGAGGAAAAAAAAGAAAAATTGCTATAGTGTCAGCTGCTTTTATGGTGATGCTGACAAAAGAACAGAAGCTATGGCAGCCTCACATAGCAATGCTTCAGAAATGACACCAAATGTAGGTATTAAAAAAAAAAAGTCCAAAACTTTGCTGCAGAACTCCAGAAGCACTGAAAACGGGATGTAAAATGTGGGAAAGCAATAGCTTTATTTTCATGCAAACTACATCAGTATGAATAGACAGTTGCCACGTTTTACAGACTAAGCATATTTCCACAAAACCAGGATGAAAAAGAAAAGATTTTGCATTCAAGAAAATCCAGGTCATGGCCACAAACCCAGTCATGCCATAGATGAAAGGTTTTCGGCTTCTTTCCTGAAGTTCTTGGGGGTATGCGGGCTGCTTCTCAGTGGTCATTGACCTGGGCAAGTTTGTTGATCTTTGCACCAAACTGAGTATAAATTCCTACCAAATCGTTCACAGATCAGAACAGAGGTTGCAACTCCTAAGCTAGACTTCTTGAAAGTGTCCCGTGAGAACCTCTCATATGTGTAGCTCTAGTATCTCTGTGTAGAGCTCCAAACTTGCAAAATCCTTGTGTACCAATCCTATTAGGCCCACAGAGCCACATAGTCACACATCAGATACCTCCAGGCCTTCTTCAGGGGGCATGTGTGGTAAAAGCTGACTAAGCTATGCTTCACAGACCGCTTTGTCAAAATCAAGCATTACGTATTTGCTCAGAGTACACAGCAGGCAGAACAAGAAGGAAAAATAAGACGTTTGCATCATATTTCCTCTTATTTACATAAAATAATCTTCTTGGAATCTTTAATTTAAAGCCCCTCCAATTCTATAAACCCCAGCTCTGGGGAGGGAGCAGTGGGTCCCCCTGCCAGCTGCATCAGTCGGCTGATGGGTTCTTGTCCTCTCCCAGTTAGCACAGCTGTACTGCTGGATCCCAACTTCACCTACCTTTCAAAGAGAGCTCAGATCCTGCTATTTGCATGGCAATGGCAGGGGCTTTTCACTGCGGGTCCAGCGCAGGGGTACCTATCTGGCCATAACCCCTACATGGCTCTTGGAGAGTACACAGAGCTGTGGCTTTCTGTGGCTCTACCATTCCTGACACCTGAGCTATTTTAAAAGGATTTCATGTCCACTCATACCCAAACCTCTGGCCACAGTGGAGAAGCAACATTGGGGCTGTTCTCACACACATGCACCCCAGATGTTGCTGAGGACAGAATCCCAACTCAGCTCCATGCTGTTAGGCCAGTGCTTTCATTTAAGGATCATGACTGAGATAGATAGAAAATCTAAAAATCCTCAGTGGAATAAACCTGCTTTACTCCCTGGTGTCTACCAATAAAGAGTTTTATCTCTGTCCTTATTTGGCTTTATCTCTCCTGAGTAGCCCTTTGACTTAAACTCCTTGTAGTTAGATTGAACAAACTAACATAAATGCGCTATTTATTAAAAAATTACACATATTCCTTCTTTCTCCACAGTATGCAAGATTATATTTGCTTAAATTATATGAAGAAACATTCATTCTAAAAAGAGTTTTTGAAGATTGCACAGGATCTTCTACAGAAATAATAAAGAATATATATAATATGATATAATAAAGAAAAGCCTGTACCAGAGTGATGCAGAGTTGCAGAGCTGCCTGAGCGCAGCTGGATTAGCACACAGACCCTCCCTTTCCAGCCTCATTAATATTTCAGGTCATTCCACAGTGAATAGATATTCTTGCGAGGCACAGAGATGTGCCAGAGGCTACTTTGTGGACTGGAATAGTACTCTTTCCATTCAACGTCTGGTCTGGTTTCTCCAGGCAAAGGAAAAGTGAGCTATCATGAAACTGAATTGCCAGCATGCCTTCAGAAAACTTCTGTGAGACTTTGAGAGTGAGAAGGAAAAAGTCTGCAGTGGGAGAACTGGTGTACATTTTCTACCTTTACTATAGACAGTTTAGCAATAACCACAGATAGGTTGACTTAAAGTCACTGCCCAGCAGTATTAAATTCCCCTTAATAGACTGACTTATCCCAGTGGTTTACAAAAATATCTCATTGGAATGCTTCCAAACATACCAGAGATGCTGGCTGGCTAAGTCTCCAAAATAGTCCTCAGTTAGCAGCTTCCAAACTCCACACAAGAATCAAATTGCCTCACTCAAACGCTGTGCTACATTCCCTTGACCAGTGTCATCACCTCCCTCTTTATGTGTGATTATGAGGAGAAGTCTTTTTCTTTTAAAAGAAAGTAACATGTATAGAGTCTTCAAAAAAGCAGACCCTGACCCAGGAGAGAAATCCCAGGCCAGAGGGAGAAACGCTGTTACTGCTACTTCATAAATATTGACAACACGTTGCTGTAGGCAGCACTGGTGCAACAATGGGAATGTTTCTTGTATGCCACACAGTCATCACCTTCGGGAAATTATCTGGAAGTTTGAGTTTGCTTGTATCTAGATGCCCTGGCACTGATAGGTATGTAGCTAAAGCCAGTGCCTCATGGCTTCTGGGCTTCTGGGGAACACAGTTGTGTTCCTGTCCCCTTCTGCGCGCTCCGTCTCAAATAGGTTAGTACCCCTGCAGCAAGCTGTGCTCATGCTTCAGCGGGGACAGACCACAGCCCAGCTTCTTTCCATGAAGTCGGCAGGGAGCTGCACTGGGGCCTCTGGTTGCCCTCCCGTGAACTGTGATAGCCAGCATGCAGAGCCACCCATCCTTCCACTGCCTCTGCTACAAATAGCTGCAACCTTTAGCCGATGGACAGAACAAGCAGCAAAGGGGAATAAATAGCTCTCTAAGTGCCACGGCTGGAGTCAGAGCCTCAGCTTGGATGAGTCAGCACAGCCCCAGCTGTACCAGCTACGGGGCTGGCTTTGTGTCTCCATTTACAGGCTGCAAGCCAAAGCACAAAGGAAAACGTCCCAACTGCTTGTCATTATTACAGTACGAGTAAAATAGCTAAATCTAAAGCTTTGTTTGAAAACAGGCAGCATGTCCCTTCCCTTCCCCACTCCATAAACATGTAAGAAGCCCGGCCGCACTAGTACCTTTTTCGAGACTCTTCTGTGTTCAGGAGCATGGCCTTTTCCCTTCTGGCAGCACATCAAATGTTGTTACCACTATAGTATTTCAATGCTGCTAAACAATGCTTGCGAACACCCACTTGGGCTCTAAGCAGTTCTACTAAGTTTTATGCAATCTTTTAAATCTTTCTTTCCCTGATCAATCATGCAGATAGGTTTTTCTTTGCGTTGACTTCTAGGAACAGGTTTTCATTGTACAAATACATTCCAAGACATCTATAGGTAAAAAGGGTGGCAGTTATTTATTGATTCTTAGCACCAATGTTTCAGTCATCCAGTTAGGATACAAAACCAATGCAGTGTGACCTATACACCGAATAAACAGACCGAGTGGATGCTGGAAATGCAGGGTTTGAAATATATGCGATACTGACATTTGTTTGCATGAGCTGTTGTAAGAACAGCGCAAAAACCTGTCTCAATAGAGATCAGTTTTGGCATAAAAAGACAACGATAGGCCAGAATCATTACATATCTTATTCACAATAAAGATTACAGTCAGCGGCTTGTTAGCATTAAGTATCTCAATCACCACTTAGTGCTCAGAAAGAGCATCTTATTGAATACTTGGGAAAACATGGAGGATTTTTTTTCTCCTGAAGTTTTCTAGCTCCTCCCATCTTATGGTCTGGGAAACTTCCTCACTTGTCTTCAGAGCATGTGAGATAGAGTAAGAAGAGTCTTGTGGAGCTTGAAAAGTTAATTTACTACATACAGATCATAAAAACACATTCTTACCTCATTTTAAGACACCTTTCTCCAGAGACCCTTCCTAATGATATAAAGGCTATGCAAGAGAAGACCTGCTCTAGCGTCTCTTAGCTGGTCATAAAAGATCACATACACTACATACTGTTCCAATGCCTTCTGAAGAAAAGTTCTGCTAATGCAACTGTTATCTTTTTCCCAATGAGGAGATTCACTATTTCAAAAATTTAACTTGCTTTAGAATTTAATTAAAATTAAATTCACTGTGTGCATATTTGTATGTTGCAACTCCTACAATATTTGAAAAAATGTAAGCCAGAAACAAAATAAGGAGACATTCCAGGACTTTTCTTTCTTTATTGGAGGGCTAAATAAGACTCCATAAGTCTCATTCTCTAAGCAAGAGCATAGTCAAACTGGCCTTTCTCCAGTCCATCAAGTCCATCAGCCCAGGTTGAGGTTGGCATACTCCGGTAGGGGTCGAGGAGAATTCGGAAGCAGCGAACAATGAGGATTCCCAAGAAAATAAATAATAAAATCACAAAGGCAAACATTGTTTTCTGTTCCAGGGTCATGCTAGAATTTGGTGTCATGTTCTAAGATGTCACCAAAGTGGCAGTGAATATCCCTCCATCCATCATCATCCAGGGAAGCTGGAATGAATAATCCCACAGTCGCCTTCTTTTCATCATCGGTTTGCTGAGGTCAGAGTAGAAGCCATTTAGATGCACTTTGCTCTCTGTAGGGTAAGGGGAAAGCAATGTTAACTGTGAATAGCCCTTTTGTTTGTTTACTTCAATACAACTTTCTCCTAATGGAGGAAAACAAGATGGAAAAGGACTTGACAGCAGGTCTTCTTGCATCTGTGTCATATATGAGACCTGCTAGAAATCCTGTACCCTTCCGTTGGCAGTGCAGAATCCAGTCACAGATATTAAATGTCACTAGACCCTGAGCTGGTAGTAACCCCTCCCTACCTACCGTATAATTTGGATATGGGGTAGAACATTTCTGTCCTGCAAGGGGGAAAACAAGGGGTTTAATCACACTGCTCCAGTGAGTAGCCCACAGAAATGGCAAATTGCATGCCTCACTGCAGGACAGACAAACTGCAGTCGATGCTGCTCTAAGTTGGGGAAGAGGGGTTTGAAAAACAAATGTAGTCGTGGTTTTATATACAGTCACCAAAAATGTTTTGAGGTGGAATGGACTGGGATCCACTGCAGGCCAATAAAACGCGGGTATCCCCACAGTGGAAGGCAGCAACCATTCAGTGCCTGAAACGCTGCAGCATTTATGAAGGAAAGGCATAAATAATTTGTGTTTGAAATGAGACAATATTTAGGAAGGCAGCCTGAATTAAGTCAAGTAGAAGTTTAGCTCAAGGGCAAATGTTTCCTCTTCTTACTTAAAATCAGAATCAGGCTTAAACACACAGTTAGCAAGAAAATGTTCTTTATGTCACCAGCTCTGCCGCATCAAGAGAGTCACCAGGATTTGGGACTGAACTTGGCTGTTTCTAGACAGCAGAGCATATGCTGTGCTACCGCTTGCCTGGCACATCTGTCTGCACACCTGTCTGTCTGGGTGTCTCCCTGTCGTTACCTTCTCCTTCCTTGCATGCTGGATTTTCCTTCCAGCAGGAGGGAAGTACTGCTGGATGCCACAGCTTAGGCCTGGTCACTGGCACCACTGAAGTTACTTGTGAAGTGTCCTTAGCAAAAGAAAGGCTTCAAAACTGGTTGAAGGGCAACACTGTCTCAGCTAAACATGCTGTGTTAATGATAACAGGGAGGAAAAGGAATAGAAGAACACAGTGCAGTATAAAGCACGCTAAGGTGAAACTTTCACATGAGTATAACCACTCCGTCACAGGACTGGGGTTAGCAGTGATTTACAAACATGCCTCTACAGTTCTACAGTTAGCAGCTTCTAAAACTCAGAATTCTAATTTTTATGCTATAGATTACATGCAGTAAAATACTAAAACTCCATTGCAAAGCTGAAAGGAGTGTATTTCTGAGGTTTTGGGCTTCCAGCCAACCTTCTGAGCGTGCTCATTGTACAGAATGTTTGCAAGCTTTTTAGGGCAGGCAGTTTTTCTCCATGGAAAGGCACAATACCTGGCAACAGGTGACACAAGTAATGAGGCTTAGAAGCACCTTGGCTGCAGCAATGCAGGCTTCCACCCTCCTGGCTTCTGGTCATTCAGCTAGAGCAACTGGTGCAAGGGAGTCCTCGAGCCCCACATTTTCCTCCCCACCTGTCACTTTTTGCTGTGTCAGCAGAGCTTTCTCTGCCAGTGCTGGGCACCAGAGACTCTTTCCAACTGGAAACATTCCCTGTCTAGGAGACTCTACAGACCGTACACCACAACATACCCTTAAGCTGTATTTTCTTGCATGAGAACCTCTGCACTCCTTGCAAGAGTTCCTCCAGACTGCCTGAACTCCGTCCTACCTTGGTGGTACTGATCAAAGGCTGAGAGGGAGGACAGGAGGAGGGTGATGAGGAGCTGCAAAGAGAGGCAAAAAAGGCCCTTTCCCATGGCATGAGGGAGATTTCTGCTCAAGGATCCACCTCTAATGCAGATCGCAAGAGTCAAGAGATGAAAGCATATGTGTGATGCACGCTATAGGTATCCCTATTTCAGCACAAAGGTATCCATGCAGCCAAAACAAATAAATAAGAAATACAGATCATAACAAGGGAAGTGATAGAAACCAGATAACAGTAATAACAACAACACAGCCTGAATGCTGTTCCAATCACTAAGAGCTGAGCCAGGTTATAGCATGGGTGGGAAAGCTTGAAGGTTCTTTAAAAATTTGTTGATGTAACCAAGATTCCTCTAGGTGCAGACCTGCTTCCTTTTTTTTATTATTTTCTATGTCAGATAAAATCATAACTGATAGAATAAAACAGAATATCTTTCACTTAAATGACTAGCTGGGATTTTTTTTTTTTTTTTAATGCAGAGGTGGCCCCTTCAATTACTTTCTGTAATGGGTCCCTTGCATCCCAATCCTTTGTTTGATGAGTACACAGTTGCACATCACTCTATCCACATCAGGGTGTTATTACAATTTCTCCTTGCTAGTGTGCACACATCCATTAGGTAGTTCAATTATAGCTCTCCCTGAGGTGGTGCTTACAGTCTAAGATACTAAATTTATACAGAAATAAAGAAACAGAGAAGAACTTGCATATCATTAGTGGCATTAATTTGACAAGTTAGTCCTTGGCACATCCTTAGCCTTAATAGCCTTCACATAGTTCCAGGCGCCCACTTGTAGCCCGGTTGATGCATAGGGCCTGGTCAAATGTCACCAAAAGGTAACTTTTCTGGTTCAAGATGCTAAGATTTTTGAAGTTAAAATGTCATTGGATTAATTAGTTGACCTTTCTACACATTAATATGAAAGATACAAATTCACAGGACTCTGAAGAGTTAAACTTGTTCAAAGTACCTTTGATTGGTCTTTCTGTGGTTTCAGCATTTAATTTGTTTCAAAGTTGACTTAATTGAGAATTGCTGTACATTAAAAGGATTTCCTCAGGGCTCACAGTTTAAAGTTTCTCACTTTGAGAACAATATAGGACTAATGGAAAGAATGGTTTTAAGATCTGCACCTCTAGGAACAACATATTTACAATTAAATTTGGCTTTGTTCTGTTGTTTAAGCTACCACATACAATATAAATTGCATTTTGCATCAACACGCATATATTTATGGTCTTGCCATGAAAGACTTGTATGTTGGTGAATAGTCACAGCCAAAGAGACTGTAGGGAATCACATCCCATTTTGCTGAGGAGAACCTTACTTCTACCCATTTTGATAGTTTCTGTATCCTACCCATTCATAAACTCGCCTCTCACCCCATCCATGTGGCTGCAACACGGCACAAACACTCTGAGACACACAGAAGCTCTGGAGCTGACCTATGGAGTTGCCATAAACTGCTCTGGTATAGTTGGAGGCACACAAAGGTTAGCACTGCTGGTCCTTAGTCTTTCAAAATACTGAGGAACTGGTAGCTCAGGAAACTATTGAAGACATCCAGACTGAACCATGACATACACAATCTATGTGTGCATGGATCTAAAGCAAATACTTTGTTTAAAAACATCAGCAGTGAAACATTATATAGCGCAGCAGTGTCTCTGTATTGCTATCTATCTCTTGACAGATATTTCACTGCCCAATGTTCTGTGTAAATCACATAAAACAAATAGAAAAGCCCCTGAAACAAGCAAGTTCAAAGGAGGAATCTGACCAGCAGAAAACCATTTGAGTCACAGGTGCCTTGCTAACTAGACACAAGGCCAAATTTCCTACTACTGCAACTAGCTATACAGTTCTGCTGACTTAATTACCATCTTGCCCACTTACACTTTTGGCCCTGTAAAATTTGATTGATAAAAATTACAATTAAGCAAGAAACACATCAAGACATTAAATATCAAGACATTTAAATGCATTAAGCAGGATATTTTCCTCTCTCTTTTAAGTCAACACCCAGGAACTTTTGCCCTTCTTGTTCACTCGAGATTTACTGGCCTAATCTGTAAGGTCCTGTGACTTCCCTGGGTGCTTCACAACATATGCCTCATATGCAGGTATCCTATATCAGTGGAGTGATTGAGTTTCCATTATGAAATATCTCATGGAATGTAGCAAGTACACAGCTGTGCCAAGAACATGTGCATGATTTTCCTATACCACCCATACTAGTTTCACTGATTACTCACTTCCTTAGCTACAAAAACACATGGCAAGTTTCTTCAGGCTCAAACATCTGTATACAAACTATTTGAGCAAAGATATTTCCATGCACTCACAGTTCAGTTGCTGTGATTGGCATTTTGAACCTACCTTAAATAAACAAAACCTGATTACAAAAAGTACTGGGCTAGCAAATTCAATTACATCTGCCTTTCTCTTGTACCCAAATGCGTCTTACGTTCCTTCATAATGTATCCTACACTATTGTTCACTGCACAGTCTAAATGGATATATTAACAATGCCCTTTTCACCTATGCTTCATCTTTTTCTTCTTCCAAATTCGATATCAAGCTGACATCGCCTGTCCCCTGCAGGCACATATCCTCATCATTTCTCAACAGCTTTTGCGGACAGATATTTGCATGCAAAAAGAACCCCTTGGTGCACCCTTCAGATGTTGACATTGTTAAAGCAAGTCAATGCAGTTAATTTTAGCAATAAAACAATGCTAGAAAGGGACCTGTTTTTTTTTCTGTAGATGCTCTCCAATACCATGCACTTCACTTTTATTTAATGCACCATGGAATGTTTTAAAATGCAAGCTCACCTTTAATGTGTTAATGTGCACACATAACATTTTGGATTCCTCTACATAAGCTGTGTGAGGCTGATTTATACACAAAAAAGGTCAAAGTTATTCTAAAAGCTTGAATTACTCACTACATTTGCTAAAGTAGTTGCTAGCTTTATGAGATACTACTTGTGAAGATCTGGAGGTATGAATCTGTGAAACATCAATATATTTAACACCATGAAGGAATCTGTGCAACGGTTTGAAATATGCACAAAACAGACTGTTTTCCTTCCTCTGTAAACACTCTTCTTTTAAAAAGAGGGTGTACAGTTACACAGGGATCAGTACTGCAACCCTTCTCCACAGTGAATATCTTAAATGTATAGCA